AATGCAGATTTCCTTGAACTTGACCCCACCTTTGGTTCCCCATAGAATCACAGACTCAACAGGGTTTTTCTGTGTTGTTGTTTGTTGTTTGTGAGAGAGAAGTAATGCCCTTTTAAGAGTTCTACCAGTGCAGTTCAGTGTTAACAAAAACCAGTTCTGTTGGCAGCATCAGCAGGCAAGATTTGTTTGCGGAAAGCCCTTTCGTTTGGAACCACTGAAGCACACAGTGAAGATATACGAGGAAACCATCATGGCAGGGCTCTTCTCGAGATTTCTAAGGCTATTTCATCACTTTCTGGTTTCTTCCATGTTCTTCTGCTCTGTTCCCTTGCTGACCACTCTTTAGCCATCCCAAACCACCTTTCTGGGCCACAGCAGTGGACCATAGTGGGTTTTGTGAATCAGGGAACTCATTTTGTATGTGAGAGTATATGTATAGGTCATATGCAAATACTGCACCATTTTATAAAAGCGACTTGTGCATTTGCAGAGTTTGGAATCTGTGGGAGGCCCTGGGATCGATCACCCCCGTGGTGGCCTGTGACCTGAAGCATAATGGATGAAGAGAAAGAATACTAGACGTGGAAGCCAATTCTGGAGTCAAATCCTAGTACTGCCTCTAATTTTGAAATCTTGGGCAATACCTAAACTCACTGTCTTCCCCCTGCTCCTTTCATTTTCAATTAAAAATAATAATAATAATTGTATCAAAGTAACGCATATACAGTTGAAATATAAATACAATAGCAGTTCTTTGTCCCAACCTCTTCAATGATTTGCCTGATGAAGCAACTCTTACCCTTCCTTCCATATAACCCCCTGACTGATGGCTAGCACCTTTGGGCCCACCTGCAAACTTCTGAACCTGTGGAGAAGTATATGGACCAAGAGCCAGTTAGTTACATTTGTTCCCAGACCACCTATGCCAGTTGTGCTTGTTCATATAATTATTCGACTCAATTATAAATTATGTAAACTGATAACAGAAGGATATATAGAAGTGAATTTCTGTTTCTATGAAAATATTTTGAAAAGACTCAATGAAGTGAAGTTACTAAAAATAAAATGCTATAGAGTTAGACATTTGCAAGGCAATTGTAAAAGATTAGGAAACAATTAAATCTAAAATTTTGGAATTTGCATTGCGCCTTTAAGTTCTCAATTCACTTTTTTTTTTTGGACAGAGTCTCACTGTTGCCATGGTAGACTGCCTTGGTGTCAGAGCTCACAGCAACCTCAAACTCCTAGGCTCAAGTGATCCTCGTGCCTCAGCACCACAAGTGGCTGGGACTACAGGCACCTGCTACAATGCCTGGATAATGTTTTTTACTTTTTTAGTACAGATGGGGGTCTCATTCTTACTCAGGTTGGTCTTAAACTCCTGAGCTCAAACAATCCACTTGCCTCAACCTCCCAGAGTTGAGCATTTTTATAGGCGTGAGCCACTGTGCCCTGCCTCTCAATTCACTTTAGTGGAACTGATAGCAGGAAATATAGAAGATGATTTGGGGCATATTCCATATGCAGAAATGCTGATAGTATTCCCATGGGATTCTTATGATATTCAATTAGGTAAGGTTCACATAAGATGCTCAGCTGCATGTCTGGTACTTAATAAACATTCAGTACCTGTTAGCTATCATTGTGGTTATTATTGATGCAATAATTGTACATCCAGGCAATTTCAAAAGAACAGACAAAGAAGGTAAGGTTAGCCCAAATCAATATTTCAGAAGAAAACCCTTGGGATAAAGTTTTAAATCCAACAACCAAAGGACCTAAACTTCACTGTGATGATTTTTTTTTGCAGCCAAATCTGTCTGTGTAGAATTAAGAGGATATTGATAATCACATTTCTGCAAGATCTGGCTGTAAGAAAAAAAAAGATTCATTATTGAAAACAAGACTATGGCGATCCAAATATCCTGTTTCAATTTTTACAACAAATTTCCACATGGCCTTAGGAAGCTGTCTAACCTTTTCATTGGTAAGGATTATGACAAACAACTTCATCAATTTATCACTCGATCAAGAGAATTACTTTGAGTTCTTTGGGAAAGTCATTATGGATGTAGTTGCGTTTTCTCACATGAGTGTGAGCTCTGCCGGGCTCTGGGCACCATTCATGTCGTGTGAAGCACCCCAATCCTCAGGATAAGGATCAGTGAAGTGCTAACTTTTTAAAAATTTGATTTTCTATCCAAGCTGTGGACCTACTCACTTGTTGTAGTGTTTATAAGTTTCAACAGGTGAACCTTGCTTTACCACAGAAGACAAAAATGCTGGAAAATAAAGTCATGGGATGAAAGGGGAAGGTCCTATGTTGGTAGATTGGCTAGGCCGCTAAATTAAGTCTTACTTCTATATTCAGTCTTCTAAACACAATATGTATCCTGGATGTGAGGTTCAAACTCTTATATTTATGTTAGTGGCTCTGGCCAAATTCAATTAATTTCTCTTTGTAAAGCAAGCCCCGTCGATGACATTTAAACTTGTTTTCATAGTTGCCACTGGAGAACATTCCCAGTTATTAAATGTATGATCGTAGCCAGTAAGTCATTCGATATTGATTGTATGAACTGAGCCCAACATCCTAGGTATTGATTACATAAAAATATATGTAGGAATAACAATGATTTAGAAGATATAGTCAAAGCCTTTAAAGACCTATATACTCTATTGCTGTTATAGGGAAGGGGAAGAAAATACTTTTCCTTAGGAGATGATTTGTAAAATCAAAGCCAAATTGTATTTACTTTTCTATCTTATCAGATACTAGAAGAAATATCTCTTTGAAAAATTTAATTTAATTTAATACCTATTTATGTGTGACACTAAAGTAGGTTTGGAGAAGTCAAAAAGAGAAATAAGACTGGATCATTTCTGTGTTCAGTAGGTTTTCTGTATGGTGTGGGGGACGTGAATGTAACCACTATGCTCAGTGAAGTATACACAGATAAACTCGACCCGGGAAGAGGATCCGGTCCCTCAGAGTCTTGCATTGTAATATCCTAATGTCAGCTTTGCAGACACCTTTAAGAAATCGGCACATGACCTTCCTATCTGAGCCATCAGGGAGGTGGAGGAAAGAGCCTGTCCTGTCCACGTTTTTTGAAGAAATGATCTGATCACTGTACGCCAGATACCTTAGTAGCTCTCCCAGTTCTCATCTCTGATAAAAACAATCCCTGGTACAATCAACGGGCAACTTACTGGAATATCAAAAAGATAAAGAAGCAGATGCATTTGACTTTTGGGATCACTGTTTTTTCCACACCAATTTAAATTCCTTTCATGATTAAGTGGCAGAATGCATGAATAATGATAATATGCTGGATAAAATCAGTTTTATATGAGGGAAGATTTTTGAGTTCTAGCCTAAACAATATTCTTATTACTAAGCCATGAAAATGTGACCTTTCTCATGCTACTGTTAGGTGGGTGAACATGTAAATATAGAGTTGCAATTATAATTAGATGGGTTGGAGCAGTGGATAACCTATCAAGTTCCAACCCATGGGGATCAGTTGTACTGAAAGGCCTGTAACTTATTGATGAGCTGTATAAAGAACGTATAAATACCTTCCTCCAAAATGCAGGTATTACTAAATCAAATAGAGCTGCCAATACCTTATGCCGGGAAACTCATAACAATACAATTCAAAATGCCCTGGGATGTACTCTTTAAATCATTTTAAAAATAGAATAGCATCTCACTGATGCAAGTATAAATGGGTGTATTTTGGCACAAATGAAATTTGCTGAATGATTGATTAGAAAGGCAAGTGCCAATAAGATTCTTATCTCAATTTGTGTTAGAAAAGCAATATTATAAATGAGTCACATTGAGAGCAGGCTACTTCAATGGATCAGGATAGCAGGACGGAGAACTACCCTTGCTGAAGCCACACCATCCTTGAGCACTTACTCAAGTTTTAATCAACATATTTTGAAAGGAACTTTTTAAAAGGCAGGCAGAGAGCAAAAATTACATGTAAATGTATACAATAATATAGAATATAGAGTATGATTATATTAAAATAGTATATATTATATATAAAACATAAAATATGATATGATAACATATTATAGTATGTTATATATTATATATTTGTAATATTATTTAAGGGAAGAATTGGAGCTGTGTCACTGGAAAAGCCAGAAGCAACTAGTCAGATAATTACGTTCTCTAGAGTTGTTTTCAGAGGAGCTGAGACTCCCCATAGATGGCTGAACAAGGAGACTGTGGAACGTTTGGCCAACGTCATCAGAAAGAGACCCTGCTTGGACATGATGATAAGAAATCATTGGTTCAAGGAAAACCCTAAATGTCCTTTCTGACAGCTCTTCCCCACAGGACAAAGAAAAAATACCATTAGTTCTGTATAATTTAAATATCTGTGAGATTGCTTCCCTCAGGGCCTTCATATTTTACCCTAGATCTCAGCTCATTTACCTTCCAAGCTTCCCAAACTAAGTTATCCGTGGGCGGGTCACTGGCACTCTACACCGGAGAGGCACGGGGTGCATCTGTCCCAAGCATCAACGCTACCCAAAGACATCTATCTGAAGTACTCAATTCTGCATGAAGGTTTTAAGTAAAAATATCATTGTATGTTAGCATGTTGACACGTTACAAAGTAGCATGCCGGGAACGAAGGGAAACTATCTCCCTGGTGACAGCAGTGTCCCCACAGTGCCCACTTCTGTCCCCAGCCCCATCTCCCTGCCACACAGGACACAAACTCAAAGCTCAGGGTTTTCTGTGGCACGATGGGAAGGTGATGTCAGGTTTTCTAATCAGTGACACCAAGCCTGTCACATCTTCATTAGCCACAAACACAGAGAATGATGTCTTTTATTTCATAACCACCCCTATGATCTTCCTTACTACAAATAAAATTTTAGAGGCTTTGAGGCATGTTTGTGTAGAAAGTTTTGGAAATGCCTTTGGCTGTGGGGCTAACCTATGAATTTTCTTCCTTTTTTTTTTTTTCCAGGATGGGAGCCAGTAAATTACTTGCAACCTGTACCCAGAATCAGTGAGTAACCTCTTTTCATAATGTTTGAGTCTCTGGTAGTTACAGATAAGCAGACAAACAGACTCTCTGAAAACCTCACAGTGGCGCTTCTCAGCACCTGTTCGGGGCTGATAGCCATCGTCAGAACGCACAGCCTCGGCGGCATTGCAGGGACGTATCAAAGTCGTGGAGGGCAGGGCAGGAAGCACACAAACCATGAGCCTTGCCGTCAGGAATTTGCAAAGGAAACCACAGGCTTTGCACATAGATTCAGGTTCTATATAGCTTGATAATAGTTAATGTTTATCTTATTTGAAAAGGATTGCATTTTTTTCCATTTTTATTTTGAAAAGATTTAACACTACCCTGGGACATAGGACTCAATTTTTTATTTTCTAAAATGTCTACCTCTATAAATACAGTAAAACTCCTTTGATTCAGATATTGCTAATACACAATTCTTGAAAATTTGATCTATAATAGATTAAGTGGAAAGGAACCTTTGAAACGTCTATAAGGAATGGATGTGCTAAGCGAAACGGAGGGGAATACCTATAACCCAAGTGAAAAGAACACTCGGTGTTTATGGCTTTAGCATGTGTGGTCTTTAGACAAAAACTTCAGCGATACATGTCACTAAGTAGATGGATCCTTTTCTGACAGATGATAGTATTGAAAATAATAAGACTGGATTGCTGTCAATAAATACAGACTTCCCCATGCAGGCTGGCTTTTCCTCTGCACTTCCCCAATTATTCCAGTGAAATGAAGTTTATCATTGTATACTATTTGTTTTGTTTGTTTTATTAAATCATAGCATGCACATTAATGCAATCATGGGGTACAATGTGCTGGGTTTACATACAATTTGAATGCTTTCATCAAACTGGTCTACATAGCCATAGGGAGAGTAATAGGTGGGACCACACCTGTGGTGCATCTTACAAGGGTACATGTGAAACTTAGTAGGTGTAGAATATAAATGTCTTAACACAATAGCTGAGAAAATGCCGTGAAGGCTATGTTGTATAATATTTGAACATAAGCATGTAGTGATACAAGAGAATCAATTCCTATTATTGTATTTTAAAGTTTACAAATATAAATTCTCAGTTTCGGATGTTTATCTGTAATGTTGATCATCTGGATGACAGTATTTACTTTGATAAGAAAAATAATGTGTCATGATCTTTCTTTTTTCATGGTTTCAAATGGCAGATAATCTTTGTTTCAGTTAAAACACAATATTTTTGCAAAGCAGGTAAGACAGATTTCCAGGAAAGTAGGAGAGATCTGAGGTGAGTTTAAAACAATCAGACAATGCCCTGAAAATTCAGACTGTGTTGAAAAATTGGAATAGTGAGTCACTATTCATTCATTTATTTTTTTATTCATCCAACATTTAGCCAAGGACCCTGCTTATCGCATCAAGGGCTATAGAGATAAATAAAATTCTCTTCGTGCCTGGTGCTGGCAGCCCATAAGTTAAAACAGAGATGAAGACAGAAAAGAATTTGTCACGTGATAAATGATGCGTTAGCCTAATACGCAAAGTGCTTTGTGAACACAAGAAATACACCATTAAATGTGACTCCTCTGACTCACGGATTGGAAAAATATTCGATAACAGGTGTGACACTTGAGCTGATTTTTAAAGAAGGAATAGAATTTCTACAAGTAGAAAAAAAGAAGGACAGCATTTCAAGCAAGAGCACAGAGACAAACACATGTGAATTGCTCAAGAAAAACAGAGCAGGCAGAGTTAGTTGGAGAGAGCTGAGGGGAGCGGGAGAGTGGAATGTCCATGTACAGAGGTGTATTACTAAGACAAGATGTTGAAACAACAATTGGAGCTCAGGGAGAGGTCTGAGTCATCTGCGTAGACTACAAATGTGAAGAAATGGGAATAAATAATACCACTCCGGGACAACAGAGATAGCTTTTAGGATCAGAGAATAGAATCAGCTTTTTCCTGAGACGGAGGAAAGGTAGAATAGGAAAAAGAATAAATTTGAAAATAAATATTAAGAAATTGGACGGAGTTTGTGCCTGAAAGCTTTCATTTTCTCTCTACTATACTGTGGGATCAGTGTGGAACGTAGACTAGGAGGACACACATTGGAAACCCAACTCAGCCACCCTGAATGATGTAATAGGGACAGGTCACAGAACCCCTCTAAATTTAAATTTTACCATCTGTAAAGTGGAGGCCATGATAACATTTGACTTACAAGTCGGGAGCTTTATAATGTATGTGGAAGCACTTTCCAAAGTCTCATGCACTCTCTATTGAGATTATAAATAGAGATGAGGCAGGGCTGGTGGCATGCACCTGTAGTCCCAGCTACTCAGAAGGCTGAGCCCAGGAATACAAGTCTGCAGTGACCTGTGATCGTGCCACTGTGCTCCAGCCTAGCCAAAAAAGTGAGACCCCATCTCTGAAAAATAAAATAAATCACAGTAGGGATAACAGTAACTGGCTTGCACAGGTCACTGAGATTATGAAAGGTAAGATATGTACCAGGTATGCAAATAAAGGTGCACTGTCCAGGGGAGCTGCTAGGCTAGTGTCCTGTGTGAGCAGGAGCTCATCTCTGGGGAAGGGGAAAGAATGAATCACGATGGGGAACGAAAACAAGAAAGGGACATGTAAAAATGTTTTGAACAGAATTAAAAGCCCACTGGGAAAACGTGACTTTGCAGGCACAGCCATACCTATGCACACCAGAGCAGCCAGAATGGATGATTTGATGATCCAGGGTTGAGAGAGGTGAAGGAAGCATACTGGTGACAGGTGTGGGGGCAGGCGCCATTGAGGGAACAACGGGAACGTCTGGAGCCAGTGCAGATACTGGGAATTTAGAGCCCTGGTACTCCAGCCTCAGCACTGGTTTGGCAGAATAGTGCCTTTTCTATTCAGACTCAGCAGCCTGTAAGCCTAAAACTCTTTGTCATTGTCAAGTAAGCATGTGGCTTACTGAAAAGATGTCCTCTAGATTATGTGCTATGGCCATCAGCTCAGGTTCAGCTGTGGGGCTATTGCTCAGAGTAGGACAGGGGTCGACCAGACCCCTGCCTGACCCTCCTGCCCTCTCGCCGTCCACCCTTGGCTCACAGACCCCCCACCCCGCTTTTGTCCAGTCTCCACGTCTGCTGGAGTTTTAGTTCTTCCCCAGCACACCAGGCTGCAAGTTTTCCACCTCTTCTGCCTTAGAAAAGCAGGATTTGAGCCAAATAAAAAAAGGAACGAAACTGCGTGCTCCCTGCCCCACACACCTTCAGCACCAGGTGGAAACCTCATTCCAAACGTGCTGTTTGTAATGGACGAGACCGCAGTTCTTCCCACGCTTGGAAATGGGTTATCCCACCAGCCACAAGGAAAATGTCTTGTGTCCTCTTAAAATGTTTAGTGAGCCTTGGGGACCCCAGGAGAGACTGCCAAGATGTATCTTGATAGTTACTAAGCTTACCTCAGAGGGAGATTTGAATCGCTAGAGCTCTTGTCCTCAATTTGCCAAATGGTGGTAATAAAGAAAATATAGGCTCTATCTTACACGTTATTGACTCCTATTTTAATTAATGGAAGACACATTCCTCATTTGGGAACATGGTTGATTCACTCAGTCGCTGATGATTACATTAAGGACACACGAAACGCAAGGTGCCAGTGACTAGGCAAGATCTGTGCAGATAATGAACACTCGGCGTCAGCATCCCCCATGGATAATATTGAAACATTAGAAGTCGATCAAAGGCAGACAGAATTCTGGGCTCTGGGGAAAATAGGCAATTCCAGACGTTCACTGGGGCTTGGGTAACCCAGAGCTTTGCTTTGCTTTCTTCAGCTTAGCTCCCAAAGCCCACCCCTCTGTGACTGTCAACATGAGTCACCCAGAAGCCACCTCCAAGCTCCCTGCTTCCTGCACATTCCTTTCCCTCGGCCAGAATGGATCTCACCTCAGGACACCTTAAAATCCTCCCTCCCCACGTGGGACTTCTCTCCGTGGCAGGAGCCACGCAGCAGTGCAGACAGCCCTGCCTTCTCCATGGCGGGAAGCATAAGTGATGCTTATCCTGGCTGGTTTCCGACGGGGGATTCTCCCTCCTTCCACAAACACACAGCCGTTCTTTTCTTCCAGGTGTTTTCATCTGGTGCTGGCCCACCAGTCCCCACTGCCCTCTCTAACGACCTTTTATTCCTGCTGGATTTGCAGGCAGTCTGATCAGAGCAGGAGCCCACCTCTCATATAAAACAGGCACACAGACATCTATTCACTTTATTTCTTTGCCCTTAACAACCCCTCCTTCTATTTCTCCTTTCATTAGTATGTCTCCCATTTCTAGGCCCTTTGTGTTTTTCTTCTTTACTCTTCTTTCTTTCTTTCTTTCTTCTTTACATATCTCACAGGTTTTGGTAACTCTCGGAATACAGTCTTTTGGTTTATTTCCTACTTAGATGCACGCAAGACTCATGTCCACTCAGTGACAAACTCAAAATTAGGAAAACATGTGCAGGTGGCATTTTATTCATGTGTTTTGCTCATTGTTTTTTAAGAATCCTTTGCATTGGGAAAGAACGTTTAATCTGGGCCGGTCTGGTGAATCCTTGACAGCAAGAACACTGCCCAGATGGCCATGTCAGATCTGGGAATCTTGATGAAATGCGCAAGGAGAGTCTGACTAGAATCTTCTGACTCTGGAGTCTGTATTTCCCTGGGCCTTCATGGACAGAAACTGGAAGAAAAAAAACTTTTTTTCTATTTTATGAGTGGAGAGTAATTCAAAAATCATTTCTTAGGGTCACTGAACTGAGAAATGTGCCCTGGAATTTCATGAAGAAACTCTTCGGGCAGGGTTTATGCACCAGCACAAGGCTTCACATATTCAAGGGTAATACCTTCTTTTTATCTATTGATAGCAATCCCTCTCCCAGAGTAGAGAGCTGCTTTTGTGCACAAGCTGCAGTGCTGTGTGATTGTAAAGCAAGAGCTGCTCCTTGCGGGCTACTGCTGGTGCCCGCG